GACCTAGGACGCTTCCTTGCGGTACTCCAGCTTTTATTGGTTTGAGTCCTGAATATGCATCACCATGTCTTACTCTAAACATACGCTGTGATAGATAAGACTCTAAGATGTCAGCAAATTGCTTAGGGAGCATGTTTTTTAATTTGTAAATAAGGCCTTTGTGCCATACCTTATCGAATGCTTGCGCTACATCCAGGAAGATCGTGGAGCAAACTTTTTTTTCTTCTAGAGCCTTTTCAATAATGTTGGTAATCCTGTGTACTTGATCTATAGTCGAATGTTTTTCCCTAAAACCAAATTGGTAGTCAGGGATCAAATTTCTTTCTTCTATGATGGGTTTTAGTCTTTTTAAAAGAAGCTTTTCAAATAATTTTGACATTGTCGGTAGCAGCGAGATCGGCCTATACGATGTTGTTTCGTGAGGTGGTTTACCAGGTTTTGGTATCATTATAACTTCGGCAACTTTCCACTGATCAGGTACATACTGAAGTCTTAACGTTGCATTGATATGAGTCGTAACTTTTACGATGGCTTTACGTGGGAGGTTTTTAAGAACTTCTGCAGTAATAAGATCGTAACCAGGTGATTTCTTTAATCTAAGGCGGTTGATTTCGTTGTACACTTCTCTAGGTGTTACGAATTTTATTTCTTGCTCATCATTATTTGATGTTTCATTTAATAAGTCGCTATCTTCATGCTCTTCATTTGGCTCAAAAATGAGTTCTAGATGTTTTGCAAACCTTATAGCTTTTTGCTCGTTGCTTATTGCCCACCGCTCGTTAATATCTTTGATAGGGGGAATGTGCAGAATTGGCTTTTTTAAGCTTTTCATAGATTTCCACAGAGAGTAATCTGTCGTGCGATGGCTGGTTAGTTGTTGTAGATAACTATTCATTGATTCGTCTTTGTAATTCTGAATTGCTTCACTTAGTTGTTTTGTAAGGTTGTTCAGAATTCTTTTATCTTGTGGATATCTTGTCTGATGCCATATTCGTCTCTGTCGCCTCTTTTCAGCAATAAGTTTTGTGATTTCTGCTGGATAGTAGGTAATTCTATTTTTTATTTTAAAGGTGGGCGTGTTTTTCCAGGCGCATTGTTGTATTTGTGTTATAAACTCACTGATATCCCAGTCCAGATCTTCTGGTTTCTTGAGTGGGACTCTTAAATCTATCATAGACTCCAAATCTATTTTAAAGCTTTCCCAATCAGTGTTCTTGTTTACCAATGTGGGGTTGTATTCTTTCAGCAAGATAGTCTCACTTAGAGTAAGTAATATAGGTGAGTGGTCTGAACTCATATCATAACCTTCTTCAATGCGAAGAAGACTAGGTGATATATTTTTGTAAATAAAAAAGTCTATAAGATCAGGAATCTTTTTTGTATCAGTAGGCCAATAAGTGGGCTTGCCTGTTGATAAAGTTTTACCTTGTGTTTCTTCAATGGCGCACAGTAGCTCTCTGCCTTTGGTCGTTGTCAGTCGAGATCCCCAAAATGTATTTTTAGCATTAAAGTCACCTCCCAATATGTATCTGTTTCCAAGACAGTTAAGAAAAGACATGTACTGATCTGTTTTTAGTGAATACCTAGGTGGACAGTATATGGCTGAGATGGTGATAAGACAGAATTTTGTTTTGACACAGACAGCCACTGCTTGTATTTCTTCTTTTTCATGTTTCAGTTTTTCGTAGTGAAAAATATTCTCTTTTATGATGACAGCACTACCACCTCTTGGTGTGTTATGAGGATGCAGTGCATGATATACTTTATACCCTTTAATTTGGATATGAGATTCTTTAGTGAAATGTGACTCTGATATAAGGCACACATCAATTCTTTCCATATTTAGGACTGCCGTAAGTTCATTCTGATGTTTCAGCAGTCCATTTGCGTTCCATGCCATAATTCTAAGTAAACTAGCCATTTATACTGCTTTTTCGTTGTTTGGCAGCTGTTTTAGTGCTGCTTTCAAGTTTTTTCAGCCTTTCGTCGAATGTAGTTAAAAGATTTATAATAGTATTAATCTTTTCATCCATGTTAGGGTTTATAGGTTTCATATGAGATTGTGGCAAAGATTGGACTCCTTTTGCCATTTGTGCATACGAAACACTTTTGGTGACAAGGTTGGTGACACTAGGTATTTTGTGTTTGATTATACTTGGACCCTGAGAGTTTGGTATCGGCTCATGCTTTTTGGTATTTTTATTTTTAATATTTTGTAGCTCTTTAGCTACTATGCATCCTCTATAGTTAGCCGGGTGGGGCTCACCACAGTGAATACATTTCGGTTTTGCTTCTGCAGGTTTATTGCAGTCTCTGGTTAGGTGCTTGCCTGTACACTTCACACATCGGGGTTCTTTGGAACAGTATTTCTGTGTGTGGCCATACGCTTGACACCTTTTGCATTGTGGAATTAATTTTGAAGTTTTTAAAGGCTGTATATCTACTTTACAGCCCAGTATGGATTTGATTCCGTAGATTTTCTTTATGTCTTCATCCTTTTGGAATGAGAGCATTAACATACTGAGGGGCTCTTTGCTCTTCCAACTCAGTTTGTTAACAGCATCTTCTATTTTAAATCCTTGAGCTGTCAGATCTTCAATTATTCTATTTGGCAGGCAGGAAGAATGAAGGTTTTTTGCCATCACCCTGATCGGCCTATCTTGTTTATTCTCATACGAGTACCAACAGCAATTATTCTGTAACAATAGCTTGGTGATGGATTTTTATGAGTCATCATTATAGGAGTTAATTTTAACTTTTTCTCCATTCATCATTTTCGTAACGAAAGAGTCTTTCGTTACATTAGTTGAAAGAAGGTCGTAGAACTTAACAGCTTACAGCATGCTGAAACATTACATTAATTATTATGTTTTTCCGCTTATCCACGTAATCATTTAGCGTCGCCGCATTGCGGGTCGAGAAATGCTGCTCATAAATGAGCCTCTAGCATGACTTAAAACTAGTCGAGTTCCTTGTCAAATATTAACGTGAGTAAGCCGAAATAAAAACTATTTAGTATGTCTCACGAAACTTATAATATAAACGCTGAACCATGTATTATAGAAATCTTGTATTTGATGATTCACAATATTCGATGATCTCCACAGAATAATGCCACTCACCCAATATGCTACATTGTTGGATGGGACAACAATAACTACGTAAAGGATTTGACCCGTAAATATGTCCCACACTGGAACACTATAACTCGTAAACTTCGCGCTGAATCTAGTTGGTGGGAAACTGCATTAAAACCTTGGCGCGGACCGAGGACTGCTAGAGATAGGGAGGAAGATGAATACTTGGATAAGATGCAGTTAGAAGCACCTTTACCTAAAAGTATTGCTGAGTAAGTACCCAACACTTCTTTGTCTGAAACAACACGTGGACGAGTAACTCAATGTGTAGGAATAAATAACCTTAACTGATGGGCATAACTTTACAGGTACAAGAATCATCCACTGTACGCGTTAAAGAGACATTTACTAAAATTCGAAGCAATTTATCCACCTGATGCAGCAGTGCTCGGATACGTCCGCGGCGAAGCAGTGTTCGCGCGAGAGTGTGTGTATGTCTGCCGCTCAAGAGACATTTGGCTCAAGGAAGCTAAAGTGGTTAGACTAGGAGAGAAGCCCTACAAGATCGTAAAAGCACGACCCAAATGGGATAGGGTAAGTCTTGAAAATATTGACGTGATGAAGTGGCTTCATTAGAAATTCTATAAAGCTACTGTATTTTTTAGCTATCAAATAAAATGGTAGATGGCAGACTTCTGGAAATATTTGGACCATGGCAAGTGCAAGATTATGAACCACCAACAGCAGAGAATGGCATTGTACCCCGGAACGCGTATGGCAATGTTGAACTCTTTAAAGATTGTATGTTACCCAAAGGAACTGTTCTTATCAAATGTAAGTGAAAACACCATTTTAAAACTTAACTGCATATTAATTTGCTGTGTAATGTACTATGTACTAATTATTTATTAATGCAATTTTTCAGTACCTAATTTAATGAGAGTTGCAAAGAAGCTGAATATAGATTGCGCGCCAGCTATGACTGGTTTTGACTACAATGGCGGCTATTCACACCCTGTGTATGATGGGTTCGTGGTTTGCAAGGAATTTGAGGAGATTATCACAGAGGCCTGGCTGAAGGTAACAAATCTAAGACACTTTAGTTTCCTAATAATGTATTAGAAATGGTAATATTATTATTATAATTCTTGTTTGTAATTTAGGATCAAGAAGAACAAGAACGTAAGGAAATACAAAAGATAGAAACACGAGTTTATGGTAACTGGAAGCGTTTGATCAGGGGGCTAATGATTCGTGAGCGTCTTAAGATGAAATATGGGTTTGAGGAGCCCAGCACATCGGAAACCACAAAAAAGTCCAAAGGACCAAGATTGGTTGTGAAGAAAAAATCATGAGAAAGTACTTTACACTCTTTATTTTAAAATTACATCTAAATGCATGAAAACGTTACAAAAGAAAATGCCCAATGATAAAATGGATAATGTAATGTGATTACTTTACATTGGATGTGAGTTTTGTAACATGGTTTGCATGATAGTATTAATGTTTTTTTTTATATTTCTATGATAAGGTCGTTAATTCAATTTAATTGCATTTGTTTTTTTTGTGTTTTTTTTACACTATGAATAAGATTAGTTATCCCTACTACCTCATAAAATATAAAATCATCACAAGTTATGTAGATGATATTGTAAACTTAATATTATTTTAATTGTGATAAATCTAGCTACCTAAGATTAACCTGACCTTTGCAAAAGAATTTGCCTATTATTTACCTCCGATAATTTTACATTGATTAATTAAATTGTTATTATAAATTGGTTGTTTGGAAGTCTGTTGTTTTGTAAAAATTTGAAATAATAAAATTATTATTACTATGTGAGATTTTCAATCATCTCTCTACCACCGACCCCCTAAAGCTAGATTATAATAATATATTGGATATGTAAAGAAAACACTTAATGTCGTATATTTATTTAATAAAATTATAACTTATACAAATTTTGTTTAATATTTTTAATAATTATGCAAAAAGCTGCTTTTATCTTTACATTATCCTCATAATATGTTCGTTAGATATATATAGCAAAAGCTCCAAAAGCGTAATACACGTAGGTGGTTACAATTTACCGTAGTGCAACTTGTGCGCTCGTGTAAATTACAATATTATGTACAAAAATCTTTGGTGTATAAAAATATGTATAGAATAGACGCTTCAGATCTTGCACATAAGATCTGGTCGGTCGAAACGATTACAATTATTTGCAATCTTATCCGCGTTTACAGGATAGTTTTTTGTCTTGCACATACCTTCATATCACAGTGTGATAAATATAAGGTACATGTAATCACAATGCCGTTAATATTTTTTTTTTGTTTTTTATTTTTTTTATCTTGCTGTATTACAAATTATTTATACCTCTTACATACCTACATTAAGTCTATTACCTTATGTACCTACTACAATATTTTATAACGAATCTGTAAACTAAGGGCCCAGACACATTCATCACAATTTGTACATTATTATTATGAAAGGAATGTAACCTTTAATTTATACTTTCGTGACAAAATATTTGTGTTCATTGGCCATTAACTTTATTACCATTTATTTTAGGTATTAGTCTCATTGAAAGTAAGTATCAACCATTATTAAAGCCAGTTTAATACATGGTATGATAGTCTGTCAAGCTAGGTAGCAACATACATTAGATTAGATTCCTTTCATGCTACCATTATATCTAAATGGTTCCTATAAAGACCAGCTTCATAGTTCCATTATGCCATGGTCAATGTGCCTGCGCCCATTCCGAAACCTACACCCTTAGGACCAAAGTTCCTGCCGTAACAACTTCGGCAGTAAATTTCTCCGTTGGGTCCGTCGTTTAAGTTGGTTGAATCCTGAAACAAAAGAGGAACAAATATATTTATAAAGTAATAATAGGTATACAATTTGAATAGACAACACATAAAATATCTATGAGACGGTAAGAATAAGGCACATTATTAGCAAGAACAATCGAAGCGTAAAAAGGAGGGGTAGATATAAGTGAATGTTTCTACAACAGACAACCCAGCTAAGTATTGTTCACTATACCTAATCAGAGTATCGCAGTAAAGAAACAAAGATACTTCGTTCAACCCAAGAATTGAACCCGAGGTCCCTTGCTTTGAAACTATCGTTTATTTATTTATTTCGTATAGCGATTACACACTCGTTCAATATTGAGCAAACCAAAATTAATCGTGTTCGCGGTCACTTGGTTAAGGCTGTTATCAGGTACACGAAAAGGTAGGTATTGTAGGTATGTTACTACTTTTAGTTCTTCAGAATTAATTTAATCAACCTCTTTTGTAAAAAAAATATCTTCAAGCTTTGCTGTCTAAAAATGCTCTTAACCAGAATTTAAGAATAATAATCGCACGTTCCGTACCACATAATCTGCAATATATAGCTGTTTCACTCTTACTTCAAATTTTTAGTAGGTAGGTGAGATAGAGATAGACCAAAACGTGATCTTTCAATACATTATGTCAATGTCACTGTCAATCTATCATAACACACGTCATTCATTAAATTTGTCAAACTTGAATCAATTTCGCCGAGCTAGATGTGAAATTCTAATTGGATACTTTATTAATTTGTGACAAAAGGAATTTTGGAAAAAGTGGCAAAAATCTTTGAAAATGTATTCAGCGGCTGTCTTTATGTGTTTGGCTACATTTTTTATACTTAGTAGTAATGCTGAATTCACCACCGAAGATTGTGCATCGCTTGGATTCATCAAAGCAAACCTATTATGTTCGTCCTGTGATCAACTGAAGGATTTCGGGTTAGAACAATTAATGGCTCACTGTAAAGAGTGCTGCCATCAAGATAAAACTGCACCAAAAGAGAAGAAGTATGCTCGTGCTATACTAGAAGTTTGTACATGCAAGTTCCCGGCGTATCCACAAATTCAAGCATTTGTTAAGAGCGATAGACCGGCTAAATTCCCTAATCTACAAATCAAGTATGTACGAGGTATAGATCCAATCATCAAATTGTTGGATAAAGATGGAATTGTGAAGGACACTGTTGCTATAGAAAAATGGAACACAGACTCGGTAGAAGAATTCTTAAAGGCTCATCTTGAAAACGAAGCAGATGATGAACATGATTATTTAAAAACAAATAAAATTTGAATAGAAAACATATAGGTTTTAAGTTATACCTACTTAATATACTTTTTTATTCTATCTTATTGCATTATTATTTTCTTTTAGCATGTAATATAAAGATGTACTTACAAGAGATCTATGGCATTCCGCACATGAGAAGCACCGTTTGTGCCATGTGCCATTCTTGGAGTGCATTTGTTCAGCAGCATAGACTGGGAACCCACAACGAGGGCAGCCCTGCCCCTTGGCTGCTTTCTGGCCAGTGAAAGGAAGCTGCTCCGTGCTGTGAAAATAAAACATTTTCTTTAATGATGTACTTTTTCAATCCCAGCACTTCTAAACATGGCAACTCTAACATATGAATTATAGGATTAAATATTATAACAAATCCTAATCCTAGTTCCAAATTCTATTTAACATATTCATATTTTATTATTAATAAATCAGTTGCATACTAACTATGTAATAGCGGGCTCAGAGTCACAGGAGACAAGAGTAGGGGCATGGCCATATCCAAATCCTCTAGGTCCAAAGAGCTTGGCGTAGCAAGCACGGCAGTGAATCTCCTTGTCGGGGCCGTCACAAGCTAACATTGAATCCAGAGGTCGGTGGCATTCTGCACAGTTGAAACATTTCTTGTGCCACATCTGTAAATAAATAAATGTCCTGTTTAATAACACGTAAGGATATTTAGTTGCAGAAATCTCGGAAATCATTTTAGTAGTAACAGTTAAGAGTGGTTGTGGCTAAACTTACCGTGCCCTTAGCGAGTTGTTGTTCAGCGGCGAAGACCATACCGCCGCAACGAGGGCAACCCTGGCCCTTAGGCGCCTTGATGGAGGTGGTATCAGGGTTGTAATAAGGACGGCTGGCGGAAATTTCTTCCTCGCTGTAAGTAGATATTATCACATTCGATTTTTTTTTCGCCAATTCATTAGTTATGAAGGAATAATTTTCTTTTTATTTTATGATATGATCACTTACGTTAAGCCGTCGGTCTGAAGGAAGCCGGAGCCACAGGCAAAACCATAGCCGTGAGGGCCCCATTTCTTGCCGTAGCAAGTTTTGCAGTAAACCTCGGAATCAGGTCCGTCGCAAGCAATGATGGAGTCCAAAGTCTTGGTGCAGTCGCGGCACTTGAAGCACTTGCGATGCCATTCACGGCCCTTCGCCAGCACTTGTTCAGCTGCGAACACAACACCGCCGCATCGGGGGCAACCCTTGCCGGGTGGCGCTTTGATGGAAGCGGTATCGATTACCGTAGTCTTGGGTGCTTGGTCACTGCAAATGAAACGAAATGTCGAGTAATTCATTATAGTAAATATTTTTTTAAACGTTAGTATAGTGCGATTGTGGGTAGTATTACATTTTATTTCAACATCTTAAAATAACAATCATGGTAATGAAAATGGAGATGAGTGAGTTGTATTGTATGATCCTAATCTAAGATTTCTTCTACACTATAACTTAAATAAGTACTAAGTAGTCATTTTCCGACATACCTATTAAAATAATAAATATGGCGGGGTTACTTACCAGGTACTAACATGGCATAAAAGTAGGTAGGTAACCTCATCACTATCCATATGATTTGAATTTTGTGTTTGATGAAGAACACCTTTATTAAATCTGCCTTATAACTTACTTAGGTACATAAATTTTAATTTGCAATGAGTAGGTACCAATGTTACTACTTGCCTAAACTAAGCTTCTTCCGAGAGCTTACAAAATACATACCTAGGTATTTTTATTAGGTAGGTAACTACCTAGTTGTGTAATTGGTACAAGGTAGGATAACCATGTAAAAATAATTCACTAAAGTGAATCACTTCTGTTCCATAAGTTTATTATCCACTTTTATGAAAATGTAAATTGAGTACCTATCGGTTCGTGCCACGAACTTCGTGGGTACCTAGGTGAGGATAACTTCCTTACGTACGGACTATGGTAATTAGTACAGTTACAGTTCCTAATCAGCTAAAGTTGGAAAATATTGAGCCTGGTTTTGAAATATTGTAGGCAATCATAGTCGTAGACATAATATTTATGAAGATATTCATCTAGTTTGTCACAGATTACATGTTGTAAGCTCAAAGCGTGGCTAGTCTCGCCGATATTAAAATTAGTCCAATCGAGAGCGGAGAGCGCGTTCTATTTTCATATTGGCACGTTGCCATCTCTTGTTTGTATTATAAGCTGTTTTTATGAAAGTGACTATGCGATGGAAATAACCTAAACCTGTCATGTAACCTGAGAAGTATACGTAATGTTACTGAAGCTTCTGGCGAAAATAACTTGCGAACAGTGAAACATGTGGTGTTAAGTAATGCGTGTTAAACACGATCAATTTATCAATATTTGGGATAAAAACTAATTTGCTAAAGCAGTCTATAAGCAAATTGGTTATGTTAGGTGATTCGGTTAGTTGTGAACACTTGGAATCCAGTCCTATAGACTATCCTCTAAGGTCTTCGGGACAATGTTATATTGTACCTTTGCCATTCCATGTCCTTAATATCACACATAAGACCCAGGCTTGACATTCCCCCATGTCCTATACCTCTTGGACCAAATCTTTGTGCGTAGCATCCTACAGCAAAAGCAAATAAGCGTTATTATTGCATCTTTTGAGCACACAGCGATTCACTCGCAAATATATTGCATGGTTGAAAAATTGTTTATTTTGTGTATGTTTGTGTCAAAAGCTGTGCCCTCGCCAGATAAGTCACTCGTCCGATCCACTAGCGGTTCTTACCCATTGGCGTAAGGGTCACTCTGCAAGACACCAGCTCCTTTTCCGTAACCATATCCCTTAGGACCAAACTTCTTGCCATAACATACTATAGAGAAAAACATTTAATTAAAACCACGAAAAGGGAAAATGAACATGCGTTTCAGTTAATAGTTTTATGTAACCACTCATGACATTATTTATATAAATGTAGTAGTGACTTGGTAACTGGTTGCTTTTAAGAGTAATTTTATAGATATATTAGGTCTTAAAGATAAATTTGGGAAATGTGCAGTAAAACAAACCTTTGCAGTAAATATCTTTGTCTGGGCCCTCGCAACAGTTTGTAGAGTCCAGCCGTTTTAAGCAGTCTCCGCATTTGAAGCACTCCTTGTGCCACGCCTGGACATACAGTGAATAGTGAGGACACGTCAGGGCATGCAGGGACACACTATTGTTGAGGAGCACTCGCGTTATTACAATGATACATGATGTTATGGCACATACATATCTGTGGGTGGGACATTTTATTGACACGTGACACAACAGTTCATCATTCAGATACCTCTACAGTAAATGTCACCATCTGGCCCATCACAATGCATCATTGAATCAAGGGTCCTGTTGCAATTTAAGCATTTGAAGCATCGCCTGTGATAGCCCTACGGCATAAAATTAAAAAACAACTTTATTTTGCAGCTTGTGGGAAGTCTTTTTTTCAACTTTGACAAAGCAACTAAAAGCAATGCAAGCTGATCAATTATATAAAAAAATGTGAAAATGACGTATTAGATAATAATACATAGATGTTTACAATAATACACTTGTAAAGCTGAACGTCTTACCCGGCCTCTGGCTAACATCTGCTCGGCAGCGTATACGTAGCCACCGCATCGTGGGCATCCTTCCCCAGGAGGCGCCTTGGCAATAACGCGTGGCTCGAGACAAGCTCCGTTAGTCCTTACGCCCCTGTATATATGCCATAAATCAATACATGTTTGACAATGATCCGACCAAGCAACAGGTGACAGAAGAATAGTTAAAAGCCTCTCAGGCATCGGAAGAATCCGTTTGCCCCTACATTCTAGTATCGGCCACACGGCTTGCGGCTAAGCAGTAGGTAGATGCCGGCGGCGCACCTCCGCCGTAATGGGAGAAGGTAAGGGCTCCCGGCCGCCCGCTCCGCACCGGCCTCGCTATAGCACTACATATTATATCGACATAGAGGGCGCTTTCCTTATCCCATCACATGTAATCACTATCAGTTAAAGCTAAGACGGAAGCGTTAGCTGAGGGTTAGACAGAGTGTGAGTAGCAAGGAAAGTTATTTAACACAAGTTCGTCTCGGTACATGCCATCTAGGTGCGTCTGGAGCGTTGCTAAGCCAAGGCTACATATTGGTTTCTCACCGTGGCTCCTTCGTGTTGGGGTACGCCCCGTTGGGGAGGAAGGGATCGATCAGGGCTGGAACGCGCTCGAGCCGGCGCGTTCCCTACTGCGGCAACGCGGGTGCGCGCGCGCCTCGAGCGCGCTCGTAAATATTACTAACTCAGGGTTGGTAGTCGACTGTTTTTATTTATTTGTGTTTTTTATAAATAATAAATAATACCGATGAACAAATTAAATTAAGCGATAGCGAATAAATAATCCTAACTAGAGTAATTTAAAGTACAGTATATGGCGTGCGTTCGCGAGGCGTCGCTGGAGGGCCGAGATGTGTGTCGGCGACCCGCAAGTTCTGCTGGACGGCTGCTCGCTCAATTCCTGTTGCGACATAAACGGAGACTGGTCATGCACGTGTCAGGCGGCGCGTAATGTACAGCCAGCGCGCGCTTTCTACTGTATAGTATGAGTATATGTACACGCGGTTAATGTGGTTACGCACGGGCCCGGAGGCCGGCCGTCGTTGCGACCTTAGATAAGGAAAGGCCCTCAGTGGCGCGGGCGGCGGGAGAGCTATGTAGGATGGTACTTACGCATTCTCAGCCTTCAGGTGGTCACCAGTGTCCATGGACAGGCAGCCAGCACCACCACCGAAGCCGTAGCCTTTTGGTCCGAATTTACGTGCATGGCACACTTTGCAGTACAGTTCACCTTCGTGTTCTGAGCAGTTGGTAGAGTCCAGCAACTTCTGGCACAGGCCTGTACAACACAACAATTCAGTATGACGTCTAAGTACTGCAGGCTGCTAGCTCGACACCCTACACTTGTCTTATTCCAGGAACAATAGGTTTCTATGTAGGTACGCTAACTACAAACAATACCTATGTAGTTGGTCTTAATGTGACGCATTTTAATATGTTCCCATATGGTTGTCTATAAGGGAATTTAAGATATATAGAAATTACTGAATCATTGTTTAGGTTTGACAAATCCATTCTCATAAAACTAAATTCGTGAATATGTACCTATGTGTAGAAAATTCACTTTCCTAGAGTCATAACATAACAATACTACGTCATACATAAACTTTATGCCGTGGAACATAGGAAACGAATTGCATTGGCATCCTTTCACTTTCCTTTCCAGATTTCCTGCTTTTAAGTTAGATAATTGAGTAAATTTTAACTAGAGCCTCGTAAGCGAAAAGTTAGTGAACCAATTATAATGTACAACCCTTTCAAAAACAAAAATTTCTGACGAAATAAAGTTTTATATTTTATGTGTAGTCAGGTTTGTTGTCAGTCAATAATAATAATCACATACCTATAATAATCTACTTATTTCAAAAAGCGGTTTATCGATAATATATTGTCTCATGCAAACCTATTGTTTATACTTAAACTAACATTGCTCACATTTAAATAAACAGTTGCAAGAACAAAACAAAAGAAAACGAGTAAATGGCTTTGTGTTTCCCCTTTATCATTCCAGTTGCATAGTTTTAATTTAATGACGTGCTTACTTAGACCTAAGTAGAACCTAGGTACATCTATTTAAAAAATAACCGGCATCGTAACTCAATTAATTGCTATCGTTATGCATTTGCCCGCCACCTATTCCGACTAAGTAAGTAAGATTAACGATAGTTACATGTTTGGCATAGATATAAAATTATATTCTACAACTTACCGCACTTGAAGCACATTTTGTGCCATTTGAGTCCTCCGGCGACTCTCTCCTCAGCTGCGTATACTGATTTGCCGCATTTTGGGCACTTAGGGTTATCTGCTGGTTTGAAAGGCATTGTGCTCGCTTAACTTATCCTGAAACAAAATATTTCTAGTTCAAACAACAATTCACATAGAGCACTGTGTCAGCAGGATCAGCTGGCTTGCAGGCGACTTGAACATAAGCTTCGGAACTGTCGCGTTCATATCCAGTTTCACTTAATTCACATTAAATCCTTCCTTGGTCAAGTAGATCCACTTAACACCAATAATATCGTAGCACATGTAGGTAACACGTTAGAACATATTTTAGGTACGTTGTCAAATTTTATTCTAAATGCAACAGCCGTTGGCCGAAATCCAAGTCGCCTGCACCACTTCAATCTGATGTGAACTGACACTTTATTGCTCAACAAGCACGTATATCGGGCGGTATATCGGCCGGGCGGGCTTCCAGCGAATGCAGCGGTAGCTCGGTTAAAAGAATGTAGCGAAATATGGAACGTTGGGCGGGCGGCGCGTAGGCCGATGCGCCTGCGCTCCTAATTTGGGGCGTTCAGGTAAAGTTACGTCGCTGGAGCGTGCCGATGCAACTCTAATTATAGTTCACATAGGGACTACTATGTTTCACTCGCGGTTAGGTTATATTATTATGCAATAAGAAGAGGTTAAATGTCACTTTCACTGGAATAAGGACCTGTTCGTCGAAGTCGCTGCGGGATGAAGCTCCCGGACGCGTATACAGTTCAGGGCGTAGATGCCGAGACTGCGGTGCGCGAAGTTCGAATGATGCGCGAGGGCAGCGCGCGACCGTAGTCTATGCGCGAGTTGCACACGGCCCCAGTGGGGGGGCGGCCACCCGCCCTCGCCACCGCCTCGCTACACCCTCACCTGCCTCATGCACAACCCTCTCAGGTTTTTGCTTTTTCAACTGACTTCATTGATTTATTCTAGCTAGGTAATCCGTTTACATTATTTTCCTATTACTAATAGGAACATTAATATTGTTTATGAATACTTTCATCGAAACAAAATAAACATGTGAGACTTTAGATATGAACTTCTCATTAGAATTCATTAGATTTGCTTTTATCTATAAGTTAAAAGGGAAATAAATATACAGGAATATACCTTTTAAATAGGTAAAGTTATTTTTTTAAATATTTACCAATTTAAATATTAAATAATCAATTTACATAAAAGATCAAACTTAATTGAACATTTTTTCTAATTACGTAGGTACCTGAAATTAATTATTTTCAATCATGATAATACATACTTAATATATTTCAATTACGATTATTAAAAATACTTATGTGTCCATACATATTATATTTGTGTATTATACATAGGAATAGGACCTAATTATGATAAGTACCTTCCATTCATCGCCAGTTACAACATTTTAGGAAACAAAAAGGGAAACCAATTCTCAAAGTGCGGGTAGGAAGCTTTGTTTAGCTTTCAGGTAAACATTTTGGTTCGCTTCAACCATATTTGTTTTCATTGAGATTTCCCTGGAAAATTCTCGTTCATTTTACTTCAAGTAGATGTTGTGCAATTTCGAATTAAATTACTGTATGCAGATTAAATAGATGCCGGCAAACCTTATATGGGAGATTTTATATTCATTATTCAGACGCTCATACTTCGCCAAGAAACATTAATTTATTACTCATTCACATTACTTTCATCATCTTCAAAGAAAGTATCGCGTGTATGCTCTTTACTCATTACAATAGTGACAAACACTATTGAAAAGATGATTTCACCTCTAACCCAATAGTCATAAAGACCACTTTCATTTAAGTCATATTATGTTTCGTAGCTCTAAAGTTACCTGTTTTCCTTGTGATTCAGTTAGATATTTTTATGTATCCTAAAATAAGTCTGAATGTCTACGTGTTTGTGCTAAAAGTTATTATATTATATATATTATAGCTATTATCAATGTTGGGAAAAAACAATGCTGAAGTATTATGATTTATGAGGTACATTTAAATACATTGTTAGTAGACAATGAGACTATAAATATCTTTTTGCCAATCCACAAATATTGAAGCAACATTTTAAATTTCTTGCGTTTTATAAAACTAGGAAATAAATAAATGGCTTTATATATTTAGGTCATCTTATTAAGGATGATATGCCAATAAATATGACTTCCATGTTGTTTTTGTTTGTAATAAATAATCTGTAATTATAGTATTAATAACGTGCTTTATGAACTTTATCCGCCCACATGAGATGCAGGACTCGGTACTATGTTAGATTTCTATTAGTCTAAAATAATATATTATTTGTATTTGCTTGCAGTATGCGGATAATATCGTAAATATTTGAACTGTCCTTAAAGTCGTTATTATATAGGATAGTTAGATCTATATGAATAAATATCATAATAATTATAAGGGACAAATTGTATGATGAAATCCTCTCATGATAGTTTTTTTAAATCAGTTTTGTAATGGTTTTTTTTTAATCATTATTTAATTTGGAACAGAAATGGTATGCAGTTAGAATAACGTTTGGCATAAGTAAACGCGTTGAGTTAATATTTGATTAATAGCATTTTGAAACAAAGTAATGACAATGCCAACCGCTTGTCTCACAATAGATACCTTGGTATTTTAACTCGTTCAAGCTAAAACGAATTTTATTTGCAATGCATTTCACCTCGGTAAGTTATACACGATGGAATTTTTACTTCATTACCCACTTAGCATTAGTGTTTCCATTTAACATATACCTACATAATAATATTTTGTCATAACTAGGTGTAAATACCTATGTGGTATGGTAGAGCTTTTTTTTTTTTTTTAAGGGGGGAAAATCATCGAATGACTGCTCCCGCCTGGGTGAGGCGGGAGGGAGTGTCAGACTCTTACTGACTAAAAACCACCCCGTTCCTTCTCCTGCACGTCGAGCCGGAGCCCCGGTTACCCGTTAGGTTCTCCGCGACTATGGTAGAGCTTACTACTTCACCAATTACCATTTTTGTTTTTATTTCAAATGTAACTACACCTGAAACTCAATAATACTTCTGAAACTACCCATCAATATTTTTTGTACAATGTAGGCTGACCAACGTCATCCTCTATTTTCAAATTAGCCTTCAGTGTAAAACTAGACAAGTAGAGAGTGCTGAAAATGTGCATTTTTATATAAAATTTTGAGGATGCTCTAAAACTGAGTGATGGGAAGTCAATAAGTCGAGACAATAAATTGAGACAAACGATATTCGAACGTAACCTTCGAACTTGTTCACATTCTAGATGCGATATAGTGATTTAACCTCTTACATTCTTACTTTTGTCAGTCATGAAATTGAACTGAAAGTCCTAAAATGTTATTTAGTTATCTATATTTTATGTACAACATATTACACTGAAACACCGAGCGGTCACCGGTGACCGCAACCTATTGTTCTTTAATTGTGTCTATAATGACGGTACTCAACGAGTTAATTAAGAGTATGAGGTGAGATGCTGAATTCAGGTAACTGTTTACTTGAATTACCTGAATTTCAAAGAAAAATTGATATCTAAACAATGTATGAATCATCTGATTAGATTACTAGAAGTGTTTTGGTATCATTCATTGCACTTTAAGATGTAACACTCGGTTAGGATTATGATAACAATATAAAGCGGGTTTAATGTCGTACATACACCAAATATTTCAGGTAAATAATATTTCTCTGTCACACAAGTAGAGTTGGTCCAGCAATCGGGCTGGCAACCACTGGACCCACGCAGCAATAAATATGCCTATAGTCGGAAATACCTGGTGCTATGTCAATGATATATGAACTCGTAGAAACATTCCGAATCGGGCATCATTGGACACAAATATAATAATGTGAATCATGTATTTGGCAAGCAACATCTGTCCATAACAACGTCGGCAATGAGCAAGGGCCGCGCAAACGTACAAAGTGATAATATTGAAGTGTAAACAGATGAGCCGAGCATCGAGTGAGGCTCGCAGTGCGCACCCCTCACCGCGCACTCATAGCGACAGAAATAACAACAAATATACCTACTGTTTATTATGTTTACAATTAGTCCAGTACCGTGTCACATTGTGGCATAATACTCTCCTTGCCAACTTGCACTCGCACCTGCCCATCTATTAATATTTTTACATAAAAATAACTTTGCTCAAAATTAAACCTCTGACCAATGATTTAATTGTCATGTGTTAATGAATTATATGTATTGTTTATAGATTGTGACGTCATACGGGGATATCTGTCGATCATTGCAGTCAGTGTGTGAGACCATTGACGTATTTGGAGTTGTTTCAACATTATAATATCTGAATATAAACATAAACAAAGATGATAATTTTCTAATGTTTGTGATGAATAACACGTACCTATGTGTAATGAATTATTTTGACACTCGAATGCACATATTGCACATATATATATATTATACAGTATGTCATGCAGACATGGTTTATTCTAGACTTTTAAGACACACACCTTTACTAAATTGTAGATAATCAAGATGTTAATTAATGTTTCCTTTAATATTCTAAAATTAATATTACATAATACCACACCCTTTACTTTCTGAAAAAAAAAATATATTCGTTTTACACTTAAACAGTAGAACCGAATTTGCGTGCGAAGAAGTCCAGACAAAAAGGAAAAATGTAGCCTATTATTTTATCTATATAATGGTTAAACGATTCTTCCGGAAACTAGGAAGAACAGTGCATAACAATCATGAATAGAAAATAAATTTTAAATATTTAGCTTTTATTTATTCCATTTATGCCTTTATAAAAATACAATAGACATTCATTAGATGACGAATTTGTTGATTTTATAACCCGAATGAAGGTAAGTTATCTAAGGTAACGTTCATGGTCTTGTCCTTATTTATACGGCTTGGGGGCCAGTGCATTGCTAGCGACCATATGTTGGACCCGATGACGTAATAGACCTTCCGTCGCTGTGATAACGAAAATGACAGAAGGTCCAATGGGTACTGAGATAAAACTGTGAAAAGGTGAATCTGATTATGAAGTAAATATGTAATTTTAGGGTGGAGATCCCTTTGACTATCAAACTAACAAATAATATTATACTTCTCTACGCGAGAATAAAATTAGTTTTTTAAAGTGCCATCAGTTTTCTTGACGCAGGTAACGAGTTATATAATATTTCAAACGTATGTCTGAGAACATCGCTATTTTTGCACTGAATTTTATCACGAGCGACATAAATTTTATGGCCGTGAAATGGTCTCCGAAAAATGTCTTACGTGAAAATTGTACGTTGGCACGTATTCAAACCTGTCCATATCTCGAATCGCACCCCCTTTGTGACTCGTCACGGTGTATCGACTGAGTTAAACACCTGTCACACGAAATTACCTCGTAATATTTACAGTGACAGATCTTAATTGTTTTGCGAATACCTGGACTGAGTTAATGGAAATGCAAGTACTAAAGGCAAGTCCGGGTTAGTTAGAGACTAACGATCTCAATATCCAATAGCTTCTTCGAAATAATATAAATTTTTCGTTTTGATCATAAACTGTGACGTTTTTGGCACAAACATCATTCTGGTATCGATGAGTAATGTTACTGTTCAATACAATTTTATGTAATCCAAA